CAGGTTCACCTACGGAAACCTTGTTACGACTTCTCCTTCCTTTAAAAGATAGGATTTACAGTTCTTCTAGAAAAAATCAGAAATATAAAATTTCATTATTTTAATTCATATCCAAACAATTCATCATATCTTTCAATCGGTAGGAGCGACGGGCGGTGTGTACAAAGGGCAGGGACGTAGTCAGCACAATCTGATGAATCATGCTTACTAGGCATTCCTCGTTCAAGATTAATAATTGCAATAATCTATCCCAATTACGATATATACTGATAAAGATTACCTATACTTTTCAGTACAGGAAAAAATATACAAATATATAAAAGTACATTTTTAACAACTTGTTATATATATCATTGTAGCACGCGTGCAGCCTAGTTTATCTAAGGACATCACAGACCTGTTGTTGCCTTAAACTTCCTTGTGTTAGATACACAATGTTCCTCTAAGAAGCATTTTTACATTCGAACAAATACATTCTTAAAAGAAGAATGAAATAGAGTAAAAAACATATTATTAGTAAAAACAGGGAAAAAGGATATTTTAATAAAAATATCCTAATTTGATATACTCAATAAAATGTATAATTACCTATATTCAATTTCCATTAAGAATATCGTGTACTTGCCGCTAATTAGCAGGTTAAGATCTCGTTCGTTATCGGAATTAACCAGACAAATCATATTCACGAACTAAAAACGGCCATGCATCACCATCCAAGAAATCAAGAAAGAGCTATTAATCTGTCAATCCTACTCTTGTCTTAAACTAGTGAGTTTTCCCGTGTTGAGTCAAATTAAGCCGCAAGCTCCACGCCTGGTGGTGCCCTTCCGTCAATTCTTTTAACTTTCTCGCTTGCGCGAATACTCGCCCCAGAACCCAAAGACTTTGATTTCTCATAAGGTACTGAAGGAAGCAATCTAATATAAAATCAACATTCCCTAAGAAATGTTACATATTTATATATTTTTTATATTCATCCAACACCTAGTCGGTATAGTTTATGGTTAAGATTACGACGGTATCTGATCGTCTTCACTCCCTTAACTTTCGTTCTTGATTAATGGAAATAGATTAGGCAAATGCTTTCGCAGTAGTCCGTCTCCAGAAAAATCTTAGAATTTCACCTCTGACATCTGAATACGAAATGCCCCCCAAAGCTACTCCTATTAATCGTAACTAAGCTAATAAGAATATCAAAAAAAATAATCAAAAAAAAAAGATTAGCTTATTCATATTTGTTATTCCATGCTGTAGTATTCAAACACAATGAACTCAATCTATTGTATAGCCGTCTGTTATGAACACTTTATTTTACTCAAAGTAACAAAATCTCCCAAAAGCTAAAAAAAGCTAAATGAAAAAGATTTTATAAAAAGACTCTGTCATATCTGATAAAAACATAATTTATAGAAAAACATATTAAGCAAAAAGCAAAATATATACATAGTTTTTTCAAACCCAGTTTAAATGAAACATCGGATTCTTTTAATATTCAACTACGAACGTTTTAACTGCAACAATTTTAATATATGCTATTGGAGCTGGAATTACCGCGGCTGCTGGCACCAGACTTGCCCTCCAATTGTTTCTCTAAGAATGTTTTAAATCCCTATCATTCCAATTACAAAATCATTTTTCGATATTGTATTGTTATTTCTTGTCACTACCTCTCTTTTTTAGAATTGGGTAATTTACGCGCCTGCTGCCTTCCTTAGATGTGGTAGCTATTTCTCAGGCTCCCTCTCCGGAATCGAACTCTAATTCCCCGTTACCCGTCATAGCCATGTTAGGTCAATACCCTAACATCAAAAGCTGATAGGTCAGATACTCGATTGATACACACATAAAATATGTGTTTCTTCTTTGTTATAATTCAACTAAATTTATTTTATTCTTACATCTAACAAATACATACCTTAATGATACATACATATATATATATATATGTATATATCAAAAGATATTTTTACAAGTATTAGCTACAGATTTTCCGTAGTTATCCTTATATTTAAAAACATCAAGTAGATTATAACTGTTTTAATGAGCCGTTCGCAGTTTCTATATATTACTTATACATGTACTTTCACTTGCATGGCTTAATCTGTGAGACAAGCATATGACTACTGGCAAGATCAACCAGGTTACTATATATATATTATATATTATAACGATTAAATTATCACATTCTAATATAAACTTATATATATATATGGAACATATATATATTTAAAATAATATAAAAAAAAAAGAAAAACAATAATAAGAATTTATTGTTTTGTATATATATATATATATATGTCATGAATAATAAATATATATATACAAAATGAAGAACTCATAATGTATATTTTTATTTATATTTATTATATTGACAACCACACACAAAAAAAAATTATTATTCCTTAATTTTTAATTTTTATATTTTAAAAATATATGTGTTCCATATATATAATTAGTTTATATATATTTATATGTGTTATAATAAAAACGTATAAATATAAATATATTTACATGTTGAAAAAGTTTATGAATATTATATATATATATA